ACTTTTGTAGGCTTGGGAAATGTTGACTGGGAAAACGTAGTAGATGTAGATGGCGATGGTTCTTCAACAAATGAACTACTCATAACATCAATGTCGCTTTCATTATCTGTAACTTCATGGGTATTTTGTAACTGCTCTCCAACTATTAAATTTCCAGACATAACACTAGGAATTAACGAGTCCTTCACAAACATCATCATATTAAAAAATGGCCATTTTGATTTATATTCCCCACCAGCATCACCTGAACGTCCTTTGGGTTCTTTTTGAAGTTCCCTCCTAAATTTATCTTTTAAATTTTTCACTTATTTTTTGCACCGTTACCTAAAATATGAGTGTTTAATAATATATTTACTATTTAGTGATTATTTTAATAACCTAGCCATTTAAAATTTTATATTCTGAGCAGAGCGATGAATCTATTGATTTAACAATGATGCGTGTTTTTTATTTTTATTATTATTATGATTATACTGATTATAGCCGTTTACGGAACATTCTCAATTTTCATCTTTTTAGTTTTTTCTCTAGGTATTTTCTCTAGGTCTCTAAATTTGTATCAAATTTAAAATTAAAAAATGATTTTGTAGTTAAAAATCTATATAATTAACTTTCATAGGTAAAGATGGAAAATCTAATACATGGTTCCACGTAAGTAGGTTATTCTGTAACCAACAAATATAAAAACACAGTTTTTCTTATAGTTATTGTGTGTTCAAATTTTGACGAAATCATATATTTATACAAAGAAGAACGATTTTAGTTTTGTGTTATATTTAAAAAATACTAATAATTCAACTTAACCGACCACCGTATTAATAATAACAATGTAAATGTAATATAAAATATCCTAGACTTACAAACCGTCTCCACTCAGAATCGTTTTTTGTAAACAAAGATATTCTATTATTGGATTAGAATTTAACACCATTCATTATACTGATTATAGTCACTCACATGTAACCTACTTTACAGCAGAACGACACCGACCTACCAACTTTTTTATTTTTTTTTGTTAATAGATACTTATCAACTGGACTTTCATTTCGAAACTTAGCTTTTTCTATGCGAATGGGCGATCGTACAATAGCGAAAATTGTCCACGAAACTTGTTTAGCTATTTGGGAGGAACTTGTGAGCGATTTTATGCCAGTTCCCACACAAGAAAAATTAGCGAGCGTAGCTATGGATTATTATAATCGTTGGGGATTTCCAAATTGCATTGGGTCCCTAGATGGAAAACATTGTCAGGTTAAATGTCCTAATAATTCTGGATCCAGTCATTTCAACTACCTTAAATATTTTTCATTAGTATTACAAGGAGTTGCTGATGCAGATAAAAAGTTTTTAACAATTGAAGTAGGAGCTAGGGGAAAACAAAGTGATGGTGGCACTTTTGCATCTTCTACACTATTTAATTTGATAGACAACAATAGGTTTAACGTACCTCCAGAAAAAAATTTACCTGATACAAATATAAAAGTTCCTCACGTTTTAATTGGTGACGAAGCTTACCCATTGAAAACATACTTGATGCGACCTTTTCCATCTCGAGGTTTAAATCCGGCTAGAGAAAATTTCAATGATCATTTATCAAGAGCGCGTAAATGCATAGAATGCACTTTTGGAATACTACGTGCGAAATGGAGACTTCTTGGGAAGGATATAGAAGTCAGTTCTCAAAAAGCTATTGTAATAATAAAATGTATGTGCATATTACACAACGTCATCAGGGAAAAAGATGGAGATAGTGATTTGGACTACTGTAATATTATGTTGGGTTCACAAACCGTTTGGGAAGATGGAATCATGGATCGACGAGCAAGAGGTGCAAATACTTTACAACAGGCAAAAGAAATAAGAAATAAATTTATGAACTATTTTTTAAATACCTAATAATAATATTATACAATTATTATAGCAGAATAAATTATAATATAATGCAATTTTTCAACATTTTACTTATTATAATTAATTAACATGTGTTTATAATTTAATAATATTTAAATAATAATAATAAAATAACCAAATTTATATTAAATTGTTTTCTTGAAAATTATTTTTTTTTCTACCTAATAGATATTTATATGAATATATTTATTATTTATAGTAAATAGTTTATAATATAACATGTAATAACAAAATATATCAAATTTAATTCTAATTTTGAAGCCTCTCACGTTCCCTCCTATTTTTGGGCGTCATGTGTCGCATAGATAATATTATAAGAATGGGTAGGACATGTGGACTTATAACAAGATAATTCAATGATACATTTTTAAGATTATATGGTGCAAATATTTATATGATAAATAATAATAAATAATAATGATTAATGATTAACAGCTATTTAAAATAACAGTGCAAATACAAATACAAATTGACAATTGTAAAATATATTGTACCTAACATAGATATTACTATATTACTATACTACTAGTATTCTTATAATATTATCTATGGCTGTGCCGTCAAACACGTCGATCGTATCTAAGTCCGGCCCTAATTATATATGTATATTACAGTATAATTACATAATATATTGATATACCTGACATTTCAATCACTTTTCCAATTTCTTCCCATACTTTTTTATTTTTTTCGCTATCTTTATACTGGGGATGTTCATCATTCCATAAGCATGGTCGAGTTTGAACTTCGGAAATTAAAATTTCCCTCGTGCTGTCTTGAAATGAACTTTTTTTCGGCATATTTTTGGGAACGAAATATTGTAAATTGTAATAAATAATGTGTAAGTAATGTTTTACTTTAGAATATTCGAAACCAACGGACTAGGTTAGGTTAAACTCGTCATGACGATACAAACTAGGTACAAGAGCATGCAAGTATACGAGATCATTAGTAGATCATTAGTTATCAATTTATCATACTATAGTTCCTGGAATAATTATTCTAATATATGTTCGCATGGTATCTACCTATACTACCAGCTACGTATACCTATAGGTACAATTTTTACCTATATTTAAGTTATATAAATCTATTTAAGCGTAGAAACCTATCTACTACACCACTTCTAGACTGTTCGCGCCCGCCAAATATATGAGCGTCGAGCGTCAAAATTCGAACATGTTTGGTTTGTGACGCGCCGTGCCGCTGACGCTCGAAGACGACGCTCGACGCTCGTAGGCAATGTACGCACTCTTATTTAAATTATATGGGCTTAAAATTTTTGCGCGACGCGACGCTCGACGCTCAACGCTCTCCAATGTACGCGCGGCCTTAGGCACCTACTAATAAAATAATATGATAACAGAAATTTAAATTTTATTTCATTTTGATAGCTATTATTGCTCAATTTTATTTAATATTTATAGGTTACCGTTATGGACTTCTATTATGTCTAAATAATTTGAGTATGGAAATTTAACCGCATCTTTTGCTTCAGTAGAGAGTCATATCAATGAAATAAAACACTATTCGGGTATAAAATCAATAGTAAAAAAAAAGTATTTCAAATACCATTCAAATACTTCAAAATAAAAAGTATTTAAACAAGTATTCAATACGGAAAAAAGTATTTGAATACTTTTACTCAAATACTTAACAACACTGCTAGTAGCATAATATTAGTTATTTGTTATAATACGTATGTATGTTTTAGATTCTGAGTAAATATATTGATTTTACAATGCTGCAGATAGTATTACCATAAATTGTGATAAAACTGTGTCTATGTGGCGATCACTCACCACTATCGCTATTATTTTTTTATTATATTGTTAACGCGACAGCGCAACGACCGACGACCGTCTCGGCATTTGTTCCACATCCATTAAATACGACCAGGCCCTGCCTGTAACGAGCGTCTAGAGACAGCCCGCGAGCGAAATTTGAAAACATGCTAAGTTTAGTCATTTTACTTTTCTCCATATCATTGATCATATGTCATCAGTGTTATCAATCATTTTTATCATATTTTTTATTTCATTATCCACTGTGTTTTCTGTATTTAAAGGAACTAAATCTACCTTTGCTTGACAGCCATTATCATTAACCGAGCCATACCAACCATTCTCAATGTCTAAACTTCCAGAAGCTATTGTGTGGAGTTTTTTCCTAAATACTTCAGTAGTCAGTAAACAAACACTCAAATTTAAATTTAAATCTTACGCTACATAAATTTGATGTTTACAGGGGTATCCAGTATCTCCCTGGGGACATGACCACATTCCAAGGTCCAAGTCGACATTATATTGTGTGTTTTTTTATTATTTTGTATCTCATATAGTAATGTATTATTATCAATTATTTTATACTCTAAATTGTTTTTTTGATTATTTGTAATAATAAATTTGTTTTTCAGGTATTGAGTTGGTCTATTAGCATCTATTTACATCTAAAAGCTTCATTTCATAGAAGGTATCTAGGTCATTGACTATGAAAAAAAATAATTGTATTGAAAAATATGCCTTGGTTCTTTCCAGTATGACGTCCTTAACAATTTTCACGCCAGCCTCGCTTATATTATTTGTATTTTGTCCTCTGGTTATCAAGCCTTTCCGAAAACATGCTGCCAAACATGCTGCCCACTGCTCTTTCCTTTGGTATAAATTAGTTAAATATTTTATAAATGTTGGGTAAGTTTTAACTAATGTTTGTTGAAGTGCCTTATTAAATGTACTTGCAAGTTCTTCTTCATTTTTTGAATATATCATTTCTTTTACCATAGAATATAATGTATGGCGATGATGAAGAGGTACACCGTGGTTTAAATCCTATAGATACCTCCAAGTAGCTTGTAGAATGTGAAAAATACAAAGTAGAAGTATTGATTCAGGAGAAACTGATCACTTATTTCAGCCGCTGAGTCGTCAGACATAAAAATCTTTGGCCCTTTTGTACCTCTACCTGCCAGTGATTTAGATATAAATAATTGTTTCCAAAGCTTTAATCCTTTAGAAATAACTAATGTAGATTCACTTGTTAATATTAGTGTTCCTATAGGTATGCCTCCAGCACAACTATTTGTATAAGTCATGAAAACTTTACAACCATACCTGTCCATATTTGCTGAAGCATCTATAAAAAGAATTTCATTTAATTCACAACTTATTCTGCTCATTAAAGGAGCGACTATTGCTATGGCAAAGTTTTCATCCTCAAGCTCTTTCATAGCAGCTGTGTCAGACATGCATTCAGTACTATATTCTTGTATTGTATCCTTTAGAGATGAAATCATTTGCGCACCATGTGAAAAGCCAAAATGTTTTTTAAAGGTTTTGTAGTATAGATAACAAACCCTAATCTCTTTGGCTAACCGCTAAAATGTTTACAATTATTATTCATATTAAATAGTTGATGAAGAATAATATTTTTTAAACCATTGTCTATTGTTACATACCAGAAATCGCGGGAAACATGTGTACATTATAATTTGCATTGGTTAACAACAGATATTTTATTATGATAATAAACATAATATTATTTATATGTTATCACTAACACAATTAAAAAAGCTAATTTGTTTTTTTTAATTTCGCAAATTATTTTTTACTAAATTAAAATGGCCAAAAGGGCTATATTATTTGATGAAGAATTGCTCTCAATTCTTAACGATGGACGAGATTCTGATCTGTCATCGTTATCAAGTGGCAGCTTGAAACAGTAGCCTT